TTGATGTCCGGTTTTACATACTCATAACTATGTATTAGTCTGTCTCTATAGCTAGTGATAGTATGTAAGTATATGTGTGCATGTGATGATTCGTATAGTGTCTGTCTCTGTGTGCAGCACATGTGTGAACGGCGCTGTGGTCTCGTCTCCCGTCCAGCTGCATCATGGGGATCGAATCCTCTGGGGAAACAACCACTTCTTCAGGTCAGTGAGACACATTTACACTCGGGTGCTGGGTTTAATTGTGTTTCATTGATTTGATGTCCATTAAAATGGATTTGTTTAGTTAGATTAAAATCTTAAAGACACCATTTAATGTGTCCTCTTCTTAAACGACCCCTGAAAAAAGTGTCAAATTGACCCAAAGCCATGTGTGTGTGTGAGTGCCTTCTGACTGTACTATTCTCTTTGTGTTTCTCAGGATCAGCGTGTCGAACGCGTATCGTGTTGGTGTTGAGGATGAGGAGGGGTGTACGACGAAGGCCGGTCTTCCTGAGCATCTGGATGTGGATGTAGACCGTCTCAGTCACGCCTCCAGTGACAACAGCTTCAGTTTTGAGTCCGCACAGACAGAAGTCATGATGAAAGCGCTGGGAAACAACGGTAAGAGGCACGGCACACAACAGACAACCTGTTACTGTCAATATAACCCCTTTTAAAGGGTGATTCTGGGCTGCTTTAAATATTACAAACTAATAAAAAAACACTTTGAGATCCAAGTGAAATTGAATGGTGCTACATTTAAATTGAATGGCAGTTGTACCAGTACTCTTCTGTAATGTTATAGTTGCATTACATTTTTAATCACCATACCTATTTTTGAGAGCATGTGTAAACAAAAATAACTAGTAATATTTGTCATATATAATGAAAAATGTATTCCTTTTTGTCTTGTTGCAATAAATAACATTATATATAGTTTTTCTGGCTTCTAAATGGATATAACAAAAATTAGAATTTTTTTTATTTTATTCTAGATTTTTTTATTTAATCTAGAAAGACTTTTTAGAGAGCATGTATAAACAAAGATATCCATTAATATATATTTTTTAATTGAATAACATCACATGTACCTTAAAATGTGTATCAAAGATTTTAGGCTTTTTTTATTTAATTTACATTTTTTGTAAACAAAAAATCCGCTAATATTTCTCATATATCATGATTTTTTATTTTTTTTTCATTAACATGAATAACATCACATAAAATGTGAATTCAGGCTTTTAAACAGATTTAACAAAAATGAGAAATTATTTATGGCATATTTTTTCCCCTTCTTTATTCTAGTATTTTTTTACATTTATGTTAGAAAGACTTTTTTTAGAGGGCCCATGTAAACAAAAATATCCACTAATATTTCTCATGTGTCATGGAATATGTCCCCCCCCCAGCATTTAAACATATTTAACGCTCAACACTTCCATCTTTATAGATATATGTGTTTGTGTGTGTTATGTAATTTGTATTAATTTCTAAAATAAAAGTAATCAAATTATATTTTAAAAAAATATATATTTTATATGGACAGTTTTTCCATTATATTTTGACACTAAAAGATTTATTAGATAAATAAATAAAACATATTTAAAGTATTTTAATTAAATGTGTATTCATCTGCATTTTGACCAACTTTTTTTTTTGTATGCAACTCTTTAATGCAAAGCATGGTTCAGGAGATATTATTTTACTGCACAAGAAGAGAAAGAATAAAAACCAAAACAACAAAAGCAATATATAAAGAACAACAGCGCTGGATGGGATCTTAATACACCAAGGAAGACAAAGTATTAACCAGCCAGTCTATTTGAAATCAGATATAGTTCAGAAAAGGATATGCTTATTCTGACCATTTTGTTTTTAATGAGTGAAAAACCAAAACAACAAAAGCAATATATAAAGAACAACAGCGCTGGATGGGATCTTAATACACCAAGGAAGACAAAGTATTAACCAGCCAGTCTATTTGAAATCAGATATAGTTCAGAAATGGATATGCTTATTCTGACCATTTTGTTTTTAATGAGTGAAATGTGTGTCTCAGAGCCGCTGCAGTCGGTGCTTCACTCTCTGGAGCGCAGGCATGAGGAGGAGAAGCGCTCGGCTCTGGAGCGACAGCGGCTGATGTACGAGCAGGAGCTGCAGCAGCTGCGCAGAAGTCTGTCGACAGAGCTGCAGACGCAGGGCTCTCACCCGCAGCAGCAGCAGCAGCGCCTGGTCTCCTCTCAGAGCCCACTGCGCCAGTGGAGTGACGAGAGGTGAGAGCCGAGCACAAACTTGCACTCAGTGCATATTGAGTTGTGTGTGTGTACTACATATCATGTTTCTGTGCTTTCAGGGAAGTTTTGATGAATCAAAGTCTGCGTAAGCTCAAAGATCAGATCGTGAAGGCCAATCTACTGGTTCAGGAGGCTGGATTCATCGCTGAAGAGCTCAACAAGAAAACCGAATATAAAGTCACACTGCAGATCCCGGCTGCCAACCTCAACGCCAACCGCAAGGTCAGGAGATATGCTCTGTGTGTGTGTGTGTGTGTGTGTGTGTGTGTGTGTGCATGTTATTGATTGTTGACATATTTGTCCGGTTATATTTTTAACATTAACGTTGTAGATGTATGGTGTCACATTTGTGAACCTTTCAAAACGAATGGTTCGTTTAAATGGTTCAGTCAGCAAGCAAGGCTTCGTAAATCGTTCTTAGGAAACTGAACTGGATGACATGTTTGTCACAGTCTGTGTGACTTACTACTTACTACAACTTACTAGAAAACATAGCGATATTTGATTAAACGTTCAATAAAATATTCATTCAATTGGCATACTATTCATCAGGGTTCACATAGTCATGGAAGATCTGGAAAAATCAGGGATAATATATAAACTACTGTTCAAAAGAACTTTTTGAAAGAAATCAGTACTTTTATTCAGCAAGGATGCATTAAATTGATCAAAAGTGACAGTGAAGACATTTATAATGTTACAAAAATTTGATTTAAAATAAATGCTGTTCTTCTGAGTTTTAGATTCATCAAAGAATCCTGAAAAAAATCTCATGTTTTCCACAAAAATACTTGGAAGGACAACTGTTTTCAACATTGATAATCATCATAAATGTTTCTTGAGCAGCAAATCAGCATCTTAGAATGATTTCTGAAGAATCATGTGACACTGAAGACTAGAGTAATGATGCTGAAAATTCAGCTTTGATCACAGAAATAAATTACTTTTTACTATATATTCAAATAGAAAACAGTTATTTAAAATTGTAATAATATTTCACAATATTACTGTTTTTACTGTATTTTTTTAACAAATTAATGCAGCCTTGGTGAGCAGAAGAAACTTAAAAAAAAAATCGTACCAACCCCAAACATTAAACAATAGTCTATGTTTTTTATTATCATTTATTCTAAAACGTATTTCATCAGCCAGAAATTGTTCTTTGTGAGTTTAGTCTCTATAAACATGAGCAGTCAGAGAAATTCAGACATTGAAAGTGGTTCAGAGGAAGTGATTTGAACATTACAGTATATACTAATAGAGGAGCTTGTTGAAATGTGGGTTAGGGTGAAAATGCCGCTTTAATAAAGACTGATGCTTCCTGACCGCAGCGGGACACGGTTCTGAGCGAGCCAGCGGTGGAGGTGAGGAGGAAGGGCAAAGGGAAGCAGATCTGGTCCATGGAGAAGATGGAGAACCGGCTGCTGGACATGAGAGAGCTCTACCAGGAGTGGAAAGACTATGACGAGGACGATCCTGTATGTCAAATCACATGACAACTTCCTACATTATCAGAATTACCATAGTACACATTACTGTGTTTTTACTCTACTGTGTGTGACAATGCTATTTTGGAGCTATTAATGTAGCATTTATTATTATTGTTGTTGTTATTATCATGTAATTTTAATATTATTTGTTTTTATTATTTAATATTGTCATTATTTTTAATATTAGATTATTTAATAATTTTTTTTTACCTTCATTATTTTATTTGAAATGCTTGAACTTTTTTTCATTATTTTTAATTACAAAAGTATCTCTCAATTAATTTGAGGCTATAAAAACTGAAAGTATCAATTATATAATAAAATGATTATATTTAGGAAAAAATATAGAAGTCTCTTAATTAATATGAGGCTTTAAGTATAAATTTTATTATAAAAAAATATATATTTAAGTACAAATATATAAGTCTCTCAGTTTATATGAGGCTGTAAGTATGCATTTTATTATATAGAAATTATATTTAAATACAAATATTTAAGTCTCTCAATTGAGGGTATGAAAGCTGAAAGTATACATTTTATTATAAAAGAAATCATAAAATCAACTATGCAATGTAACTCATAACATTGCTAAAATAACTATATATATATATATATAATTTTCCATCCATTTTGGTTAATGTTATGTTGTGTTTTAATGGAGATAACAATCTAAACATTAAATATGTAAATAATAGTAGTTTTAAAATTATTTTAATTTATTATTTAAAATAAAACACTAAAATGAAATATATGGTGGTGAAATGTTCATGTCCGTATGTTCTGGCTTGCGACTAGTGTTTTGTCTGAAAAACGAAATAAATAAAATTAAAACTCTAAAATATTTTAGAAAATAAAAATGTAAATATAAAATAGATTTTAAAGTCATTTTAATTTGAAAACAAATACTTTATTAATATACAACGATAAATATATATATAAAATATTGATATTTTTACCTGCATGTCATGTGACATCAGAGAACTGTGAAAGTGTAAACGTGTAGTTAAATTATTTAAATATTAACTTAAATTTACTTCAAGTAAATATTTTAGGCCAAAGATTTGGCTGACAAAAAAGTTTGGGAATCCCTTAAAGGAAACATAATGTACAATTAGTCAATATTTCTTTTCTTTTTTTCCCCATGACCATCATAAATGAAGTATGCTTAAAGGTGTTCAATCTCATCCTCGTCTGTGCTCAGGCCATGCGTTCCTACTTCAAGCGCGCCGATCCGTTCTTCGACGAGCAGGAGAATCACAGTCTGATCGGTGTGGCAAACGTCTTCCTGTCCTGTCTGCTGTATGACGTCAAGCTGCAGTACGCAGTGCCCATCATCAGCCAGAAGGGGGAGGTGTGCACACACAGATTGATTAGAATTTAATATTTTTATTTATCAAGTTTATTAAAGAGTGCAAGGCACTGACTGATTGTCGTTTTTCAGGTGGCAGGTCGTCTTCACGTAGAAGTCGAGCGTCTGAGTGGAGAACTGGAAGAGCGTGAGACGGGGGTCTCTGAGAGCAGTCCAGACGGCGAGACGCAAGAACGCAAACTCATCTGCATGGTCAGATAAAACGGGACGTCTCCGAACAAACATGCAATGTTTATGAACTGTAGTTGAGTGATTTTTTTTTTTTATTTCCAGCTCAAGGTGTTGCAGGCGACTGGATTGCCTCAGCACCTCTCAAACTTCGTTTTCTGTCAGTATCATTTCTGGGAGCAGCAGGAGCCCGTGTTTATCGCCCCGGAAGTGGGTCTGACGGCCCCCAGCAGCAGAGAGCCGCAGAGTCTGGTGGTGTTTGATAACTGCAAGGTGAAAACACCAAAACATTGCATTTGCACCGGCTCTTTCTCTCCTTGTTTTTCCTTCCATGTTACAGACCCTGTCGGTCATCACACGTCTCTTTCTGCATCTGTAGACTCTAGAAGTGGCCGTGACTGAAGACTTTCTGGAGTTTCTGATGGACGGCGCCGTGGCTGTTGAGGTTTATGGTCACAGACAGGCGAATCCGCGCAGGAATCTGGCTCTCTGGGACCTGGGGGTGATTCAGGCAAAGACTCGCTCTCTCAGAGAGAGGTACACCAGCATTTATTAGACTGTCCTTAAACACAGATGATTGGGATGCATAATTAATAGTTATACTTGTATATAATATGCTATACTTTACTAATAAGCTAATAAGTAATTGAGTAAAAAAAAAAAAATTAAGTTTAACTTATGTGGAGGTCACACCTCCAGGAGATCAGTGAGCCAATGGCAATTTAAACTTTTGGAGGGCAAGTTTATGACTCCTTGTCTTCGAACATGGTGTTTTGCATATGTAACTGGATTGGGTGTTGATGCAAAACTATTAAAGGGGTCATATGATGCGATTTCAAGTTTTCCTTTCTCTTTGGAGTGTTACAAGCTGATTGTGCATAGATAAGATCCCTGAAGTTGCAAAGACTAAAGTCTCAAAACCAAAGAGATATTCTTTATCAAAGTTAAGACTCTGCCACGCCCCCCTAAAATGGCTCGTTCTAACACGCCCCCACATATCTACCACACTATATGGAAATATTTGCATAATGCCACCCAAATGTTCA